CACTGTAGTTAACTCTTTGTGTTTGTTGCAGTGCTGATCAAGATGAATTTTAGTCTTTAGGTTTCCTACAAGATTATACCATTAAATATGGCTTGTCTCACGGCAGGTAGAAAAGAGGTGGTTACTAGAAAGGTTTGTTCCGGTAAAGGTTATGACGTTTTCGCACTTGATCTTAATGTTCTTCTTTAGAGAACATCGCTCTAAGCGGCGCCCATTGCGAGCTATCTCGCGATACTGCTGAAAATCCGAACTGGAAGGTGTGTCTATTCAAAAAACTTTCTTGTTTCTTATTATTCGGACTTTATACTTTGTTTTTCTAAAGATGTTTAGTAAACGCGGTACTCCACATCGAAATCAACACATGCGACAGAATTTTTGTAGCAAAGGTCAATGGTTATCCTATTGGTCAGCCAAACTTGTACGTTGAATTTTTAGACGTTTGAATGTGCTCATTCCTTTCACCTATTTGTTTTCGAACTTCGAAAATGCCATAGCACGGTGAACATCGTGCATGAGTTTTCGTAGGTGCATGTTCCCCCGACATTTTCTGTTAAATTTCACTCTTTGTTAACAACAAGGGTGTTTTCGGTAACGTCTTGATTTCTGTGGCATTGTTGACACAGTGCTTTGACGACTCTATTATTTCTTTTCTTTAATTGATCCTATGACTGGGTCTTTATAAGATATGTTTTTACCAGATCGGTGGTATTATTCCAGACACCATTGTGCCTCCATTTATGGGAGCCAGTTTGCAAGCGGCAGTAATTTTATTGAATACTATCGCTCCAGTTCTCCGCAATATGCGCGGTGTGCATTAAGAACAGCTGCAGAAGTACTGCTAATTGCAAAGAGTCCACGTCTCGAGTCTGTTGTATCGATTTAAGCAACCGATCCTTATAACAGGTGGACCAGTCTTGCAGTGAAATATGGTGCTGGTGACAGCTCCGGTTCCCAGAACTTCACTGTGAATAAACTAAGTTTTCCCAACCGCCAGAAATTGGTTGAATACTTTGAGTTCATTTGCTGTTGTTCCCTTAAATTATTAATCATTTCTTGTATATCAGCTTTCCTAAGCCGGATATGTAGTGAGTCAAAATGTTACGGTTTTCGCCAATGTTTTAAATCCGGTGTGCCTTCCAATTCTTTCGGATTATTTTCCCACCCTCACGCAATATTTCGTTAGACCACAAGCACCTTAGCACGTAGTCGTCGAACAACAACGTGAGTCAGTCGATGAACGCATGCTTAGTTTTGAGGTGAATGTCTAAATTCGGAAGAATTATTATTGTCATGACGGTTTTTACGTCAAATTCGGCTATAATTTGTTTACGTTATGCCTTTTTTTAATGCCTCTCCATGCTGAGACAGGGGAAAGGAGGTAGCAGGACCAAACCACTAGGTTATGTTAACGTGCTCGGTGGCGTTACTGGCGGTTATGCCGAGTTGCCAATGTGAGGTAAGCACGCGGGTTTTATCTAATTTTAAATGCAAAGGATTACATGACCCACCCAACGGTTTACCGCCTTATCGTGGCTGAGAGGTGTTTATGTATGTCGGACTGCGATCTACAGCGGGGTGATGCGTTCCACTGGCGGGGTCTCCTAAGTTGAGAAGGAGTCCGGCGTTTCTATCTGGAACCCTAGATAAGCTTAAATCAAAACCAATGCCAGGCTCCACCATCGTCCTGGCATCAAAGTCGCATCGCAAATCTCCCTCTGATCTACAAGTGCTGAAACTGCCTGTGGCGGTGAAAACCTGAGTCAGCATTTGGCCAGGCTATTCTCGAGATTCCAGGGAACCACAATAGCTTAACCAGCAAATCTTTGAAAAATGGTGATTATGCTGGGAACCGCACAACTAGTGAGGGCGGGCCGATCAAGTATCAAGTATCAAGTAAGGATTACATGATAAGAGGAAATAGCGTCGAGAAAAGGTGCTTGCTACATACATGTGGCCGATGATAAAATAAATAGACACTACTCTCTACAAGGAGGAGAACAATTTCTAAGCTGAGAATTCGGTTTGAACCACGAAGTTGGCGAAGTTTAGACAAGAGTTCCTCGCTAACGTTTCCCGGTAGATTCCTACTCACAATTTGTTAGAGTTTTTCTTTTTAAGATATCGCTAGTTTGATGTAGGAAAAAACTCGCTTCCATTGTTCTGCTTGATTAATGGGACAGCATCATCTGGAAGATTAACATAATACGAACTATTACAGAAGGAATTGCACCACTCTTTTCTTTCTGTCCTCGTTTTAATTCCTTATCGAATCGATATCAAGGTAAACTACTCAGTATTTCTAGTGATGATTTATTTCTACTTGTTCGTTAGCCGTTACCTTTCTAAATGCTTTCTTTACCAAATCAGATGTGAACTGCGTGGTATCATGAGCGGTGGGTGCAGGCGAAGACTAACAACTTGGATGCTTGGATGACACGTCCTCACTAGTTGTGCGGTCCCCAGCTTAATTTTTATTTTTAGGAGTTTTGCTGGTTTAGCTATTGTGTTTTTCTTGAGTGTCGAGGTAAGCCTGGCCAACGTCTGCCCCTGGTCGTCTCCACCACAGGCAGTCGCCGCCCTTGTGGATCAGAGAGAGATTTGCCACCATGTGAATAGTTTGAGACTAGGACCGTGGTCGATTCTGTTATTTGTTTACTATTAGCTAAGCTTCTGGCTTCTTTTACATCGCTGACCGAAACTCAGTAAAACCTCCCGGCCTCGATGAGGCGGTAAACCGTTGGGAAGAACTCTCAAAAATTCAGGTCGAACAAAGGTTTTTAATCAGTAGTTTCAAATTGGTGAAACTCAGCATTCTTTTAAATACACCAGCTTGCTATCACGACCTATATCAGAAAGAATATGGCGAATTTAGCACCTGTCAGAAAAATCACATTACTCTTAGCCAATTTTGAAGTAAGCTGGGTTAGTGCATTTACTGCTCATTTTTCGCCGCTTCACTATGAAATATCCTTATATCATCATTTACTTTTTGAATCCTGACTGAATGTAAAGGTGAATCCGGACACTATGATGGCAAAATGTAAGGTAAGTTGTGCACTAAATGATAAGGACGCTCCCCGCGGCCTTGAAATATTCAAGTTCAAATTTCGCGCCCGCTTCCACGCACGCTTCTTGGCTGCCCATCATCTGATCTTGCGTTCAGGTCGCGTCGGCCTAAAATGGCTGCGCAGTCTGGTCAACGCTCTCACCGCTTTTCACCGTACCTGTAACAAATATTGTTTCATCTCTCTTTTTTTCAGTTTTCTTGATGATTTCGTTTAAAGCGGAGGATTTCCGTCCTACTTAGTTATCGCTTTAGTTAAACGATCGATATGCATGTTACGTGCTGTAGTTTTAGGACGAACTGGGAATCATTTCAATTTTTTTAAAGTTTCAAAGTTTTGAATTTTGTTATATGTCCAGCTTTTGTATTACGGATCATGTCTTTCCTGGACGCAACGTCAAGTACAGGCGAACGAAAAAGAGCGCGTATTTATAAGAAAATGGTGGTAAGTTTGCGACGTATTGGTGTTTATTTTTAAATGACAGACTGTCTTGCAAAGGCAGCTCAACTTTTTCTGTAGCAGAGTAGCTCATTAAATAGGAAGGTCACACCATCGGATAAGCTTTGCAAAGTTTCACTATGTGTTGCACAAACAACTAGACAAACTTGAATTTCTTTGCCTTTTACAGAGCGGAAGTTCATCTATGCAATTGTGGTGCTCCTAGTAGTAGAATATTAGCACTCTTAAGGAACTGAACTCTTGCGTATAAAATCCGTTAAAGCTTGCTGAGTTCACCTTGTTAAGGCAAATAAATAGATATAGCAACAGGCTTTTGTTTCATATTTTTTTTTCACGCAAATTGCGATAAACTGATGAACGTAGGCTATTCAACAGAATGCTCTATCGAAAACTTTTCGCGATAGTATTGTCGGAGAAAATAGCACTTTAAACAATGGGAAACTTAATGTTTAACGTTTTGTTTTCTGCCTTCTATAATTTTCATGGCAGGTTACTAAGCGAAATACAACCACAACGTTGCTGAGATATTTGCAAAACTCTGGACCGCAGGTGTCTATGGTGGGGAACGAACGCGCTATTATCCTTTCCGGGGAGTAACGCGTTCACCACCACACCATGCGGGTCCTTAGTTTCGCACGTCTCTCAGCTATTTCTATCGATCTTTTTTTGCCACAGCAATCACCCGTCAGCGGGGTTGATCTGGGGAGCGCAAATCGGCATAGAACCCAGTTAAGCTATGGCTGTAGTTGAAATCACAATGTTTAACGTTTTGTTTTCTGCCTTCTATAATTTTCATGGCAGGTTCATGGCAAAAAAAAAAAAAAATAATGGGAAACTTAGTTAAACAAAGTAAACTATTATTAATTTAGTGGTCCGACACGTTCCCTGAACAAATCGCAAGCTTCGATCAGTCTTATACTTTCATCTCAAAGAGCATTTATGTTGCCTTCTCCCAAATACTCGCCCATCGAGGATTACTACCACCCACAGTGGTCAAGGAAAGAACTATTGAAGGCAAGTTCTAGAAAATTTAGTTCCGTTCACTCACCTATTTAGAGGTAGAAAGTTTGAAGAAGCCCTCTGGTGAGACAATTACGCCTAAGTTCATGTAACGTACGTTGCGTTGTCGTATATGAACCGCTATTGGTTCGTGTAATAATTATCGATACACAAAAAAGTCTAGTCGTCCAGTCTTGATACAAGGTTAAATGATGACTAGTGTATACTAACTATGCAACTTCTCTCAAAATTTTGGCTTTGAGAAGATAAGAGTTTCTGAGGGAGTCTAATGCTTTGTTTTTCAAAACGGAAATTGCAGGTAAAGTCCGTGCATATGTGATGAATAGGTCTGACTCGTTGGGAGAGCGCATTGTACAGAAATTCAAAGGTGTCAGCGCCGCTATTTATAAAGGTTACCTTCGTGAACTGACGCTTGCCGTCGCTTCCACGAAAGAAGGTCCAAGTCGTATCATTGAAATGTACACATGGAGAATGCACTATAATGTAGACGGTGAACCACAAGCTGAACTGCGACAGTATGTTTACTAAAACTGTTTCTTGTCGATGAAAAAGCACATGAAATCACTGTTTCAGACCCGATGGTACTGTAATGACAGCGCTTCGATTCAGAGGTCTAGAGTTCTTAAAAAAACAAACAGCAAATTTTCTGCTTTTGATAAAGTTATTATGCCGAGAAATGCTGACTCCGTTACCAGCTGGGACGTCAGCTGCTCTTTGCCTGACATACACTGACAGTTGGTTCCTTGTTTGTTGAAACCGCGTACGGTAAACTAGTATTCACTATCTGATTGTTCACCAATACGCAACTTTAAAAAGTGGTTGTATAAACATAATTAAGTGAAATTATAGTAAGTTTGTGCTTCACTATTCGTCAAAATACAGGAGCTCCAGCGGGCTATCAGGCCCCAAGTTTCCGCCCTTTACTCGATTATCCTGTTTTGCCGCCGGATACGCAATATGTGGAACTAGCAAGATTGCAAACCGAATACCATAGGTACGCAACTATGTTTTAAAATTTCCTCCATTTATTTGACGTTTCTCGAGTTCAGCTACAATTTTTAGAGTCTCTGTCGTAGTGCGAAGCGTTTTCATAGACGATGGATACGTTATGAAACTAAGGCTTAATGAGGAACTACGACTACATATTAAGGATTACTCTGCATTTACTCCATTTGAGGAAGAGTCGGATGAAGATAATAGAGACCATCGAAATGCAGCATTACAACAGGTTATTTATAAGATGATTTATGCTGGATTTCCAAGTTAGTCGGTTTGAGGGCTCGAAACAATGTAGGCGATCTGTAGCAGGTTGGCTGCGGTGCTACGCAGCGCGTTCTGAGCTAACGAATGCAATACTTTAGAAACTTGCTTTATATGATTGCTGAATAGCGGCTGGGGTAAAAGGGTAGACTTTATCATTTTGAGCTAAGTAACTTACTCATTCCACATATTCCACAAATCCATGCATATCTGTTGATATTGTAATCTGGAAGAGTATACTTATTGTACAGGTAAGTTCAGTATACTTCGTACTAAGGCAGGAAAAGTGAAAATTAATCAAGTTATCGATGAAGACCTATAGATGTAGAAGCGTTGAGTAGAATGGAACACACACGTAGTAGTGTCTGAATCCTATATCGCGAACTTAATGTTGGAAAGGAACTGTTCTTCCAGCCGTGCTCCATTAATGTATTCGTCAACATAGGCTTTGCCTGGAATGTGGAGGCCCTTTAAAACAAGTAACAATCCCTGTTGAATGTGTGCAGTTGAAAAGACGTGAATCGATAATTTCTTTAACAGTGTAGCACAGATTACATTCTCCTTCTTACGGAAGTGGGTGATTTTTGCACGGAAATGCTCACCTTGAAGGTGTGGACTTCAGTGCCAATATTGGCTCATATAAACGTTTGACGATTTTCGTATTATTTGCAATCTATATTGGAACAGTTGGGTTAGTATCTTGCGTTGGAACTTCACGTATCGTAGGCACTGGAATACTAACTCGCTCTCTAATTTAAGGAGCTACGAATTAAAATGAACAATAAGTGATAATGATGAAAATATGATCGCATCAGTACTGATTGGATTGCAGAGGTTGGAGAACGCCTTTAGAACTCTCACTCGTAGTTGTTAAGGTGAAATAGCTTTTTAAGGTCTAATCAGAACTTTTAATTCATCTAGAATAAGGGGATTTGGGGGAAATTTGGATCATTCCGTCATTATACTGCCTTCTCATTGACGACCACGTCCAGATACCGTTATACTACGTTAAGAAAAACAAACATTTGGTTTTAGTTGATCTTTATGATTAGCGGCATGATGTGTCGTTGCTGAAGTAAGGTGCAGACCAATCTCACAATCGCCTAAAAAACCTGTAGAAAATCACTGAAACAGTATCGTGTGCGGTATGGAAGACGTGACCGACATCATCATATTGTCGCTCAAAATGACCGTGGTCTATGGTTTGCAAATATTCCATCCTAGTCATTCAGCATAAAATTAAGAGCGGTGGATGAGGAACATAGGTATGCGATTAATTGTTCTGAAATTTGTTTGGGACAATGAATCATAACGGCTTGGTGAGAAAGGAAACTGTCGCTATGTTCCTTTTTCCTCTATTTGATCTAACTCTAGTAGTGAGGTGCTAAATTGTCTTAGAACTCTTGACAATGGTGCTTTTTATATTCAGTGCAGAAAAGTCGCCTAGGCGTTATACAGCAGTTTCACAATCAGAATTGTGCAATTATGCAACGGTATTGTAGTGCGTAAGCGCGCGGGTGGCGCAGTGGTCGGAGGCGCCCTGCAACACACACATGGAATCGATCTCCGCGTCCATGGCCTACCAAGCTTTCCATCCTTTCCGGAGCCGCAAATTGGTACCAGGCTTGCCTAGGAGGATAGCAGCACTGACTCGATACATCGGTAGGCCACCGTGAATCAGTGTAAAGGCCAGATATGCATTCAATCACCTCCAAACGATACTTAATGAAGCCGAATGCATGGCGCATCCCACAATAATTCATCAGAGCCGTGAGTTTTATCCTTTATTAGTTCTAGCACGGATACTAGGCGAAACGTGATCACGCAAAGGTTGACCATTTTGGAAAGTCAGTATGTAAAAACGACTATTTCTGTCAAATTTAAAGAAAACTGTGTCCACGAAGAATAGACATGTCCCTGGTGTCTCGTTTAGACTTAGTGAAAAAAAATAATTTTCCTCTAGCCGCTCATGTCTCAGTCGGAAGATCAGCACGATGCTCCTTGCGTATGAGTTAGGCAAAAAGAACGAATTCTTCAAGAGGTTAGAGAATGTTTGGTGAACGTTAAGAGCACTGCGCTTACACTTCATTTTAAGTCCATTATTGCTTTGTTTTTACGCAATTTTGTGTAGCCAGGGCGCTGCACATACACGATCGATGATCAGTTAGCCTTATAGGACCTGCTATCGAAAGCGTGATTCTGGAAACACCTCTTAACACGTGAGAGAAATGATCAACAGTTCAGAATAATATCGCAGATTCTTCGTGAGAACAGCAACGTAGCGATATCTGATCGACAACACCCATATCAGAACTTGATTGTTGTAGCAGTGAACTTTGGTTTCGTTGCAGACTTGTGCAGCCGCGATAGGACTTCTCCCGCCGTGGACTACACAAGGCGTTCGACATCGTTACGGTGGTACCAAAGAACGAGGTCAACCTATCCATAAGAGCTCTGGAAGTTTCGTCGCCTCTGTACGTTACCGTTTTCACAAAATTCTAGCCCACTGACAGTTATGCCGGTTTCAGGCTACCCCATAAATAATGAATGTCTCCACACCGCCTAGTAAGAATTCATTTATTTTGGATGAAGGAAAATTTGTTATGTAATGTTGTTCAAAGGTTTCTATTGCGATGATTTCTTCCTTTTAGGACTCACATGGTACTCCGTCAGTCAGAAAAACACCGGGTGTGACAGACATTGGATGGGTAGGCTTAGCTACTTTGTAGTACATTGTACATGTTTTTCTGATATTCTATTATGCTATGTGCAACAAATTGTCTCGCTTTAGCTCACTCCTGAAGAACTACCAGCTAAGAGAGGGAAATGAAACATTGGTCGTAGTTAAGCAGCAATGGTTTGGTCTTGGAAGGTGTGTAGGCATAGTCTTGTGAATACCATATGTTTTTGTATTCAGATTTTTTAATTCTTGGGATTGACTTCGTTAGCAGTAATATTCGTTGTTAAATCCGTTTTCTTCATAGTGGTGTGCTATTCTGGTACAACACATATTTGACCATCGCTTAAGCACTATCGAGTGATCTCTCATTCAGGGCGTAGAGTAGTAATACGGGCCAAAAGATTACTTTGTTAAACATTTTCTTAGTCAAACTCTAAGCCTCATAATCCACGGAGTGGTACGCTGTTTTGGCCCATTTTGTTAGTAAAGTGTGGAAAATGAGGTTTTAAACTATACAGAAAATGTCCGGTGGTGTTAAATGTAGGTCGCTATCTTTCTCTTAAAGTCCAAAGGAAGTGGCTCAGAGAAAAGTAGATGATCCGAAAATTCTAAAAAAGTCAGAAAATTATTCGTAGCTGAGTTTCTTTTCGCCGTTTTCTTAAGATTTTCGCTCATGATTTCCTATTCATGGTCCAGTTCGTTAGGTGTATCACTCCCATTCAATGTGTGCGTAATGTGATGTCTATTCTCAATTTTGGAAAATGTAAAAGACAGCTTAATATTTTGTTTTGTTTCTATTGTGCCTCATCATAGATATTTTTCATACCAAAGCCTTGACAAGGACCTTTTTCGTCAGCTGGCCAACCGAATGTTAGAGTTGTTACTTTCAATCACTGTTATTTCAGCTATCTGTGCATATTTTTTGTAAATGCTCTAATAAATGTCGTTTGTTGCGCTGTGAATTTGACTGCAAGAATTTTTTGGAGTACAAACACACCCACTTAGTGCCATAATTAAAGGTGCATCGGTGATATAAAATAAGACGATAAAGTGTTTCCAGTCATTGGTCGTCGATAGAGAATCGCATACAGGGAACACTGCGTATGTTAACGATTTGTAGAGACGAGGAAAGTGAACTGGGAAGTAGTAAAAGGATTCATCCATGTAAACCAATTTATTTTTGCTGTTTTATTCGATTCTTGCAACAGTTTACTGCCTTATCGTAGTTGGGAGGTGTTCATGGGTGTCGGATTGCGATGTACACCGGGCGGATTCATCGGCGGGGTCCCTCAGGCTGAGGAGTCCGGCTTCTCCATCAGGAAGCCTAGCTAAGAGTAAACCAATACCAGCATCCATCACCGTCTTGTTATCAAATCAGTCGCATGGTGGCAAATCTCCCTCTGATCCACAAGGGCTGCAACTACCTTTGATGGTGACAACCTGGGACAGATTTTGACCAGGCTGATCACGGGACTCCAGGGAACCACAGTGATTAAAACCAGCAAAATTTTGAAAAAGCGAAGAATGTGTTGAGGCCCGCACTACCAGTGAGGACAGACCATACAAGTATCCAAGTAAGCTGGCTTTATTTGATGCTGTGCAAGTTTAGCTGTGCACTTCTTTGCCCCTTTTGGCCTCTGCGGCTCTTCCCTGTTCTGATGTTGGTAGACGAAAGCTCCCGTTTACGTGCGAACTTGGTGATTGCGCTGCATTTTGACTCACTATTTTAAATATTCGACCTCGGAAATTCAATTGAACTGCTTTGCTGTTGCAACATCATATCGTTTTCATCGTTACTATTAAACCCTTTAATCACCTTCATCTGCTCTGGCTGTATGTCTCATAGTCACATCTTCAATGCTGACACTGCGGATTAAGGTGCTTGGGTACATTTTTTCCCAGAACAAAATTCTAGGTGCATCGAATTGTGTGTGAATAATACGTGCGGTTCTCATCAGTTTGCTCTGGTAGTTTTTGCCTGTGTACCAACCACAAATGAAACACACCTTAGCCACTAAGATTGCGAGCTTATGCCTTCGCCCCGAACGACGGTGTTTATCTTATTGTAGACGAAGTTTTTCACATTTCTTTTTTGTTTAAGCTTATCATTTGTTTCCCGTTTAAGTTTCCGTTCTCTTCGTCGAGCACTTTTACTCACAGTTCAAAATATGTTTGGGAACGAGGATCGAGCGTTGTAAGATGGCATAAATGACACACTCTGTTTATTCGTTTGTTCTTTTAGAAGGTAAAATTAAAGTTTCATTTCTGTAATGGTAGGCCGCTAATGGCGTCTTTCACCAAAGTGGATTCAGAAAGGAAGAAAAAGACGCATTCGGAAGTTTTCTCTCATGTGGCAGCAATCATGCACTTACTTATCCCGCGTAGTAAAGCCGACGACAATATTTCAATTAGTCCGTTTTATGATAATTTCAGAATATACTTTAGTAAAACATATATTCTGCTACGTACCAAGACTCAACGCACAGCATTCTCATGTCTTTCTATTGATCGCTCTCAGCTGTATTCTGTTAACGTATTTCTATTCTTCTAAATGGTTGCTTTCGCCAACTTTGCAGCGTCGTTTATTTCCGTGCGTAGTCGAAAACTGTTTAGGGCATGGTACAGGATTTTTGCATTCCAGATGGAAACTGATGCAATGAAAAGATGTCTCGTTGAAATTGTTCACATTCCGTCTGGTGTGAGGTGTATAAATCGTTCTATTTTGATTACACTAGTGCAGCCTTTCACTCTAGATTTCTTCTACTGAGACAATTATCACTGCTATTTCGAGAAAGTACTTGTACTTCGGAAAAGACCGTTACAAACCGTAAATGTGTGATGTTCTCAACGAACTTGATCTTGATGTTTGCGGTGTGATCAAGGATGTCAACAGGGTAACCAATAAATTCGCTAATGTTTACGTCTGTTTTCTTATGTTTTTGTTCACAAACTGTTCCCTTATCTATCTGTATCGAATCGGATGAAGTTCGAAGCCATTCATTAACAGGTAGTGTCAACTAATTCAAATAGAGAGAATTTTGTTTCATCTTCTTGACTATAGCGAAGACCTATTGATTTGGGAACTGGAGAGCACCATTCGCGCACATTCACGACGCCGTATTTTCGCCAATTAATGCCTATATGGATACTTCGGAGGTTGGGAACGCTTTCCACGTGTAATCATGTCTCGTTTTCTGGTGCATTGTTTTACTCACTTACCGATGGAAGAACTCTTATTAATAATATTATCTGAAATTGACAAATGGTGCGAAAATCATCGTGCTCAATGTAACAAACTCGAGGTTTGCTCACGTTCTGGTGTTCAGAAATCGGTTTCACCAAAATTGGTCGCTGTACTCTCCAAGAGTCGTTCGAATCGCGCGGTCACTAGAGGTTTGTCGGTTACAGACAGTATATACTTCTACGTCATCCGTTTTTCTTCACTGATCTGAACTCCTGCAAATGTCATTGTCACTATTTCGATTTCACATCTCTTTTTCTTTTCGTATTAAAGACATATCTGTACTTCGTGGTATTTCGTTCTATTCACGACCACACAAGAAGTACATGATCAGGTCCTCTATCGACGACACAGATGCAAGTGTGAGTGGAGGTACAGATTGTCACAGTTCTTTGCAATTTTGGCAGATAGAATGGCCCTGATATTTCAGCTACCTCTAAGCATCGAAACGTCTGTTGAACCCCCCCGCCCATCATCTGAGGAGGAATTCAAAAGTAAACACCGAAAACTAAACCACGAATGGGCCAAAATGGCAAGGGCTGCTGGTTTGAAACCATCAGTTATCTCTCAACTTAAAGTTGCCTTACCAACATGCCCCGTCTTGTACTTACTTATAAAAACTCATAAGTTAGTAACCAGCGATGATCTTGCGTCTAACGATCCATCACTATTTAAGGTTAGACCTATCATTAGCTGCGTAGACGGGCCAACGGACAGGATAACATGGTTTTTAACCCTAATATTTAACCAGTTGTTGAAACACATTCCAGCCCATCTTACGAATACCCAGATGTTTCTGGATCGTCTACGTACTGCGCAGCCCAACAGCGCGTGCGTGATGGAGTCCTTCGCCGTTACCGCCCTTTATACAAACGTGTCGAATGACTCCGCAATGCAAGCCATATTCGAACTCCTTACACAACACGAAGGAGAAATAAACATGTATGGCTTCAGGATAGAGCACCTGACGGCACTCTTAAAAGAATGCTTGAGATGCTCAATCTTCAGATGGTCTGGAAAGTACTACGCTCAAATAAGAGGGTTGGCAATGGGACAACGACTGGCTCCAAGCCTTGCCATTGCATTTATGTCTAAGGTGGAAGCACCGGTGACTGATCTCGGGCCGCTACTCTACTGTAGGTATGTAGACGACTGCTTTGTCCTTTGCTCAACACAAGAGGAAATGGACAAATGCTTCGAATTGTTAAACGCACAGTCAGAGTATATCAAGTTCACCCGAGAAAAGCCGAAAGGAGAAATGCCTTCCATTTTTGAACGTAGAAATTCACCTATCAGAAAATGGCTACATTACAAAGTGGTACCTAAAGCCAAGTAGTAAAAATATCTTGGTTCATTACCTCTCCTATCACCCCTCTCACACGAAAAGGGCGCTTATGAGAAACATGTTTCGAACAGCAACCAACGTGTGCACGGGAAGAGAGCAGAGAGGAGTCCCGGAACTTGGCACAGCAAATAGCCGTTTCTAATGGCTACGAAACTGTGGCTCAGGAAAGGTGTAGAGGAAATCGTAGGCCTCCAAACGACAACTCTAGCGATAGAAGAGTCCCGTTTATCCTACCCTTCATCTCAAATGATATAAATACAGCTATAAAACGCTGCTTTAGAAGGGCGGGCTTAGAGAATTCGGTGAGCGTAGTTGAAATACCACCGAGTAATCTTAACCGCCAGCTAGTTCGTAACCGCCTATATGACAGTCTACGTGCAACTCAAAATTTCATAATTTGCCCCAGTGGTAGAGACGGCGATTGCATGAGCGCGGGTATAGTTTATCTGATCTCCTGTAAGACGTGTGGTGACGAATACATTGGCGAAACGGGTAGACCCCTCTGTGTCCGCATGAAAGTACACCTAGCCGGCAAAAATAGACCAAATACCCCGCTAGGCACGCATAGGACCCAGAAACATAACGGGGACGACTTCGAAGTATGTGTCGTTTTATCCATGCTGTCCACAACATGAAAACAAAGCAAATATGAGTTCAACTTTCTTACTTTTTACTTAGAAAACAGGTCTGCTTCTTAGTTAGACGCATAAGTCGTTACACATGGACCAACTTACCTAATGACAATTACTTCATTAGTAAGTTGTCAAGTAGAGAGAAACGCCGACCAAAGTACCGGCTTAAATCGACGAAAACTTTAATATTTTTTATTTATTTATTATTTTATTTTTATATTTATTTTATATTTATTTTTTAAAATATTTATTATTTATTTATAAAACTTTAATTATTTAAAATTATTTATATACATTATACTTCCACGTGATTTTTGTGCGGCTGGTCTCTACGTGACATACTTAGTGGAAACCTCATAGAAAGCGGTGAGTGTGCAAAGCTGTGTTCAAAGTGATTGAAATCTTGGTTTGGAGTTTCTTTGTTTGGTTATGGAGGCGTCTGACCGAGTGGATTGCTATCAACTTGACCTTTCCAGGCTCTGAAGAAGGCGAAATCCGCCGAAACGTCAGCTTAATCGTAAACAAAGAATAGTAACACCTCGCGTTTGCTCAACAAAAATACGAAGAAAATCACTTGATCAATGCCAAGGTTAATAGAAAGTCGGTCGTGGCAGTTACTGCAAGATGTACCATTAGCGAATTTATTGGTTACCCTGTTGACATCCTTGATCACACCGCAAACATCAAGATCAAGTTCGTTGAGAACATCACACATTTACGGTTTGTAACGGTCTTTTCCGAAGTACAAGTACTTTCTCGAAATAGCAGTGATAATTGTCTCAGTAGAAGAAATCTAGAGTGAAAGGCTGCACTAGTGTAATCAAAATAGAACGATTTATACACCTCACACCAGACGGAATGTGAACAATTTCAACGAGACATCTTTTCATTGCATCAGTTTCCATCTGGAATGCAAAAATCCTGTACCATGCCCTAAACAGTTTTCGA